TGCCAACGATCATTATTTTCCTCCATACAATAATTATTTGGTTTTGTCTGGTTTTATTCTCCTTAAACAATATACCACACTTGGCAAAAGTATACACAATACACAAGGCAAAACCACAGTTATTACTTTGAAACAATACTTTGGTCCATTGTGTCATCTGCATTTGTTTAGTGTTTGCCATCTTTCTTTCATAAAAAACTGCCAGTCCGCTTCCAAACACTGCCCATGTATCATCACCTTCGCACTCAGCCTCACACCCTTTCTGGCCCATCTCCCGTCTTTGTTGTGTGTGGTTGTCTGGATGAGGCAGAGGGGGGAAGACCAGCAGTCAGACCACTGCATATGTTTCCAATTCCCCCCTCAGCAGACCTTCCCTCTCCTCTCTTGGCCTCCGCGCGCCCTCCCATCGCTCCTTTCCTCTCCTCTGTGTGTGTCTTTCTCTCTCCATGTCCACCAAATTGCCCATTAGACTTTCTATTTGTCTATCTGCTGGCCTTCCTGCCTGTGGCGTGGCAGTCAGCTAAAACAATCCTCCAGTCTGTGCCAATTACACCATGGGAGACCACTTCTAACATTGTATTCCACATAGCTGCTAGAAGCCAACTTCTAACACACACGCACAGAAATACGTGCTTAAGAAACTATTTATTGTGATCATGCAACAAACATATGCTCCATTGCATTTTTAGTAGCATCCAGAAGGTTGCATCTCAATGACAGAAAAACACCCTTTCTGTTAAAAGGATACTACTCATGTTGTGTTTATGTTTGGTGAAAACATGTTAATGGATTTAGCTGATTGGTACAAAGCTGTTTTATTTTTGTGGGCAATAAAGCTACCCTCTGTCCTGTTTTTGGTTTATATGTCCATCATTTAGCTGAGTCAACTGTAAAAACATAGTTTATTAGAGGATGACATTACATCTGGTTTTACCATTATTTAATCTATATGTTCTAAATATGTTCTCAATACTTTTTTGCTTTTATGAGATAAAAGTAAAAAGTCTTCTGTTCCAAGAAAAACTGAGTGATCAACCTCACACATTTCCAGTCCCAGACAGTGACCAAGAGAAGTCAAACGATGTGGTCAAACGCTGAGCTTAACATCGTTGTTGCATTCTGTAATAAAGAAAGGAAACCTTCAAAACCAAAGGCCCACTGAGGGGAATTATTAATATCCTGTCAGCAGTAAATTAGCTGTACGTTTACATGTCCTTGCTCCTTTCCTTTGTTTTGTCTAGAAGTAGTTCTTCTGTCACCACATCACCGACATCATGGTAATAAAACTGCAGACAGAGCTGGAGAACGAATGGAGCACATTTATAGAACGTGTACAATACAGTGTGTTTGACTTGGGGAAGGGTGAGTTATAGGCGGATCCAGCATGTGTTTGTATGTACTGTATCTATATGTTTGGGACATGTGCCAAGGAAGCAAATAGACCATACTCAACCCATGGCTGACATGACACACCAAGAGACAGAAGCTGTGACTGCTGGTGCCAACGAAAATAATTTCAGAGGAAGATGAATGAACACGGTGCCAATCTATGTCTGTGCCTACAGTGTGAACCTGCCGTGCCACACACAGTGAAAGGATCCTCTTTACAGTCATGGTGCGGTCTCTCCGATGACAGGGGTGTTTTCCTGACTGTAGAGACTGTAATACAAAGTCATTAGAGACAGTCTCCAGTAGGTCACAGTTTAGTCTGTAGTGGCCTTAGAAGAGACAGAGTGGGAGTGAGTGCAAAAAGAAGAATTAAAACTGGAAGGAAGTTGCAATACATTTCCCTCATCATGGTGCATCATGTTCTTCTTGGTGCAATGGTGGATAAGGTACTTAGACCCTCTACTTAAAGCAACCCTAAACGATATCCTTTAATAACAATTGATCAAATTGCTTTGTCTAACGGGCAAGTGACAAAAGATAATTACCACTAGACTAAAGTTCCACGGCTCTGCTGCCATCAACTGAATTTCTATTTGGTTTTAGAAAAACACTTTCTGCTTAGCAGCAAAGGGCAGAGAGAGACAAAGTTAGCAACATGTAGATAAAGAAGGTAAAACAACCGGCAAGCTAAAGACAGGGATCTTTCCCTCAGTGGTGGGGATCATAACTATCTATTGTTGTTGTATAGCCAGAACTGATATCCAAATATGTCTGCTGAATGTGTAAACAGACAATTATTTGCTAAAATGTCTACCATAACAAATTGAAAAGGGTTTTATCTGGTGTTGCTGCCCTCATGTGGCTGAACAAACAAATAATGCAATTTAATGCACTTAAAAAAGTACGCAAAAGTAGTCTATGTATGAAAAGATGAAAAAACAACTATTTGTATTTAAAACGTTTAAATTAACAATGAATTAAACAACTATGAATAATGAGAAGTATGTGTTATTTGATTTTTCTTCCTTCTTCTCCTGCTTTAAGATGAGATAATTTTAACTAGTTTATGGACTAGTTGAATGTACTTTATAACAATGCATAATACTTTAGAAACTTATAGTATAACTATCAATAAGTGTATATAGTTGAGTAAAACTATATTAACATACTCTGAAATGTTTTGGAGTAGAAATATAAAGTAGCAGAAAATTAAACACTCAAGTAAAATAAAGTGTAAGGTAATTAGATCATTACTAACTGGAAAAATACAAGTGATACTTGACATTTGATGAGCATTTGAAGAATTAAAAGTTGGAATTAATCTTCTAGTCCATGCAAACTTTAATAGCAAATAGTAGTTTTATTTCCCTGGAAGTGGATCAGACCACATTATGCTCTAACTGTCCAACTTGGTTAAAGAATTGCGACACATTGGAAGCCATGAGACTGAGGAAGTTTACTCTGCATGAGTGCCATCCCTCAGCGTGCTGTAGGCTCCTGCTGAAGTCTGCAGATCTCGCTCGCCGCCTTGTTAACCCAGAATATCCTAATGACTTCCTCTTGCTGCCGAGCCACACTGTGAAGTCATCCATGTTTCCATGTAGCCTTAAGTGAGGAGAAGAGAGGAGAGGAAAGGAAACTAGACAGGATGGAGGACAACTAGTAGCGCTAATGAGGTGCGCTCCGATGGCATAAATCCTCTTTAGATAAACAGCATCTGAGTGACTCTGTCCACCAATGAACATAAAACTCATAACAACTTTTACATCCTGCTCCACTCAGCTTTAATGTTTCCCAATTGTCTGCCCTAGGCTTTAATATTTCTCCTGACTCTGCTTCAAATGTGGAAAAACAGTTAATAACTGATTAGACGTCTTTATTGCCTTTACATTGAGGGTAATACAAAAAAGGAGACAGTGAAAAGGGGAATGTCCCCAAGTAGGCTCAGCCGGCCACAGAAATGTTAGTTGGGTTTTATCGATGTTTTACATCAATGTCAGCTCGTGAACATCGTTGTTGAAGTAAACTTACATATTGTTTGGATGATTCAGGGTTTAGTAGCAGGGCAATAACAAATGTTGAAGTTGGATTTCAATATATAAGGATAGTATACTTTCAAAAAAGATTGTATTCATTATCTATCATTATCTTTATGTGTTAATGGTATGGTCAGACAACCAATATGTTCATCTTTTGTATATGTTTACCTTTATTATTTTGGAGTTACATATGCAAACACTATACAGTCTGTTCAGATGGCTGGAGCTTTCAGTGCGGCAATTAGATGTCGCCATCTTGTGGTTGAATAAAACAGTCACTAACTCAATTCTTTATGTACATTATTTATGAATGACAGAAGTGTGAGCAGGCTTACAAACACACAGTGGTGTAAAGTAACTAATTTACTACTTTGCTCTTCTACTCCACTATAATTTAGAGGTTAATGGTGTACTTTTACTCCACTACATTTATTTAATACCTCTTAACTAAGATTTGGATTGCGACCTGAAATATATGCAAGACTTAAATACGACTTTAGTTACACCTGGAGTAAATTCACAAGATACCCTGCAGTTAAAATAGCTGCACCTTTACAAGCTTTGATAACACATTAATGCATCAATAATTATATTCAAAACATAACATATACATTATTCTGAAAAGGACCAATCTGCATAATGAGTATTTTTACTTTTGGTACTTTAAGTATACTTTGATACTAATACTTTTGTACTTTTACTTGAGTAACATTTTGATTGCAGGACTTTTACTTGTAATAGAGTATTTCAACACTTGTGTACTAGGATCTGAGTAATTTTTCCACCTCTGCAAACACACAAACAAATGCTCAAATGCATCAAGACACACAAGACGCATTTTCAAAATAAAGAATATACTCCCAATTATTATCAAGCATGTCTCTATCCCCCGAATCCCCACACAAACAGTAAAATAATGTCCTTTGGCTAAAATCATGTTCATTGGTCAGTTATTAGCCAATTTGAAAATGATCAGGCATAATACATATTCTATTGAAATGTTTTACAATTCTGTAATAAATCAGCTGGGAGTATCCTATATTGTCTATATAATCAATTTTAATTTCATATCTGGCAGCAATAATTCATTTATAAACGTGAAAATGAAATGCCTTTACCGGTGTAAAACAACAGCTTATTAAATACCAGATGTGCCAGCCAATTCTCAGTCTCATTGTGCAGAGAAAGGACTTTTATTTTTCTTAGTTTACTAAAAGTACACTTTCTGATACATACTTACTAACTTTTACCTAAGTAGGGTTTTGAATGGTTTTTGAATACTTGTAATGTAGGCAATGTCTTTTTTTGTTGATTCATTTTAACATGTAAGTCTATAGCACTACACTTATACAATGTAATGAGATGAAAGTAAAAGCACTTTAACCTACTTAATTGTATTGTGTTTTGCTGTGGCGCCCCCTTTTGGTTCGACGTTGTTAGTTCAACCTATCTAGTTTACTATACTGCATCATCATTGGTTCAAATTGTCAACGTCGTTTCTTTGCATGCATGCTCCTCCCTTTTTTGTCTCAACCACCCCTTTACACGCACGCACGCACGCGCGCGCACACACACACACACACACACACACACACACACCACACACACACACAATAGCCCCCTGTGATGTCAACCCTCCATGGCTGAGCTGCACGGCATGTCTGTCGAGGCGTTATAATCTAAAAGCAAACCGGGACATTATGGAGCAGACGGTGTGTTGACGGAGATGCGACGGTGCATGAAAAAGGTGATTACATTTGCAGCGTTGCACGTTTACACATCTGATAAAGTGCATGTGTCTTGCGGTTAGCTGATGTTGCTAACTCACTCCTCTGTGTGATCGGAGTATTGATACATCGCTGCACGTTATCATTCATCCTCCTTCCCAAAATAATCCGATGGTGCCTGTCGTTTCGTTTGTTTTTAAGACAGTTGGCCTCCGCGGCGGGATGAAGTATGATCGGCAATAAACACGCAGAGGAACACCGAGAGATACATTTAAGTCAACTTAATCCATCTGGACATCTGGGGGGAAGATAAGGACAGTGATGGCTTCGATGAAAACAGCATTATTCGTGTTTCTACACTGGGGTGAGTTCAGTCTGCGTTGCACCTGATTTCTCTCTGAACACAATGACTAAAACCGCCTCGCCATCTGTCACATGGAGATGCATTTGTATGATTGTTTCTTGAAGCAGACCAATCAGACTATTCATTTAGATATTATTTGCAGCACGTAGCTTTATTCTTATGATATGGCCCTGATTTTTGCATATATGGAGCACTTTTTCAAATTGTCGTGGTCTGCAAGTTTTATGACCTACAATGCAAATGCACAAGTGACAGATAGGACAGACCAATATCAAGCAAAAATCACCTACAGGCTATTTGATGTATGTTTATTTTTTTAAACCATACAATTAGTTTCTGGTGACATCCAGGAAATCCCAAGTAAAAGTATTCAAATCAGGTGGGCTCTCTGATAATATGTATTAACTACTGTATTTACACAAAGGTTAACTTTATCGTTGTTTTATGGCACTGATCTCCACAGTACAGATATACTAGGTTTATTTTGTTTGATCTCATCAGTGTGTTTCTTATGTTTCACAAGGTGTATTTGGCAATGGTGTCTTCAAAGTTCAGCTACACATAGTAAACATGAAGAAGATTTTTGACTTAAGGATAGTCCTTGCCGAGAGAATATACTGCTACATAATCAAATAAATCCAACGTGCTTCAGAGCCTATATAAAACTTTATTTTAGGCTGTGAATAGAACACACCACCCAACCAGACAGCAACAGATACATCTGAAATGTATTAATATATCTGCCAAACAGAGCTACTCCGATTTGTACTTAACATTTGATATATTTCTTTATCGCTTGACAATACACGTTAGACATAAGGAAAACATGTCAGATTGAATGCGACAGTATACTTATTAATATAAAGCCAATTTAATAACCAAAGGGTCATTTGTCAGTCCTCTGGTACAACATGGATGTCTTTGTGGGGTCTTGATAGGGAAGTTGGGGCTCCCTCATGTTGCACAGGGTCCAGACAGTATTCAGCATCATCAGCCATTGTGTCCCCCAACCCTATCAGTCCGAGCCCAATGTTAATTAGGGCTTGATCCGCTTAAGCATCCCTCTAGTCTCCTATCTCATTATCTATGGGTGTGTTGTTATCAGGCCGTGGCTCAGCCTTTGAGAAAGCTCCAGTTGTTTCTAGGTGTGACACACGCAGACAGGCCAGGAGAGCCAAAACGCACCCATCTAGTATTTCTAGTTGTTCAGGTAGTTTAATCAGCTCTAGATGAGGATTTAAGGTGTGTTAGTTTGAGATTATCCTTTGTTCATAGTGAGTTAGTGGGTGTATGTTTGTTGACAGTTTTTCCCGGTATGATTACAGCTTATTTGCATTTGAAAATGAGGAGTTGTTCTCAGCTTCTGCCCCCACTTGTGAATTTAAATCATTTGGTAGTCCTTAAAAATGTGTACCGATTATATAAAAGTATTTATTTTCTTACCACCATATGGATGAACTTATTATGAAGATGAGCTATCTGACCCTCGACTGGCTATCCACTTTAATAAATAAATAGCTTAACTTTTTCTGAGCTATTTGGATTATTTCCTTTATTACATTCACATTTTAAATAGTAATAGAAACATCACAATCAAGTCTGTATAACCATTTGATTATTCCTCTGAGCTTCCTTCTCTCAAAAGAGGAATTACTATATGTCATTGCCCTTATCGTGACAGAATAGTAATGCTAGGAGAAGTTTCAGTGCCTGTGGCTTAAAGACAGTTTCTGTATTTAAATAGGAGCTCGGTCTGAGCCTATAACTATTTCAGCGGGGTTCCAGGGGAAGTTGGGTATGCAGCCAGACAATGAGACTCAGTGAAATACAATCACGCTTGAACCTGGAAGCATGAAACCCCCTCGCACTGAATATTTCTTCTCTTAAACCAGAACTGTGAAAAACTTCCCATGTTACCAAGTCTCTCTTAAACAGTTAGGTGACAGAGATAGTTTTATTTTTCCCTTTTGGCCTGAGTAACGTCTTTTGACAGTTTCAATGTGATTTAAAGTTTGGAAATGTCTAACTCATTCCAAAGCACTGCACTCAATGACCTGTTTTTGCTTCTTTGAGCACTGAAAAATGTAATTTGTGTTGCTAAGTAGTATTTTTTGACATTTTTTAAACAACTCAATGAGTTGTTTGAGAATGTATGTAGTTTTTTTTTGATCGATTGAAAATAACTGTTTGCAAAACTGTAAATGCCACTTTTCAGTGTATTGGAGTATTTTACAGGCAGCTATGGTGTTTTTCCCTGAGCTATTTGTATTGATTCCCTGTTAGTCAGTCATCAGCTCAGGATATTGATCAGTACCACTACCAACCATGCTACGAGGCCAGAATGTGACCCACAGGAAATGACATTATTGCAGTTTCCAATCTTTGCTGTCCATTCATCACAGTGTTTCACTCTCTTGCTGTCTCTCCATTAATCTTTCACAGTGCTCCAGTGCGCTGTGTGTCGCGACGTATCTGTTCCTCCTGGGACCCTCTACCGTGTTGCAGGGTTCCCCCTCTCCCTGCCCTGTGCTGTGTCAGGGTTTGAAGGGCCACGCACGCAGGACTTTGAGTGGTTGCTGTACAGAGATGATGCCGGTGGCAAGCAGATGGGAGTGGTGTCCACCAGGGACAAGGGCTTCCCTTACGCCCCATTTCAGCCTCGGGTGAAGAATGGGGAGGTGAGGGTGGAGAGGGACTCGGGGGACAAAGTCCGACTGGTGATCCAGAGACTTCGAGCTGAAGACCAGGGGAAGTACGAGTGCTACACACCCAGCACGGACATTGCCTACCAGGGGAACTACAGCGCCTCAGTGCCTGTCAAAGGTCAGTCATATGTTTGTAATGTATTTTAAATAGTTATTTACTACATTATATCTGAGTGGTTGTTGAGTTATATCTAATTGTTTCTAATTTTGCCAAAATGTATCACTCATGTCATGTTCCAATCGTGTTAATGTCTAAGAACAGGCTTAACCTTTGTTCATTGAAAAACAATTATTTAGTTACATAGTTTGAACTATAATTGTGATTTCCAGTTCTGTCATGGGGGAAAGAAAATATCAACAACTCTGCACTACATCAGCCAGATAGATGACATTTATTAATCATACTATGTGTTTACTCTGTACATGACGACATTCCTCGTGTCTAAGCTGTTATTTACACTTGCCGTCTGGAGTTTGTCTTTCTTTTTACAAAGATCTGTCTGCTCAAGCTATCAATAACATTTTGCCCTTTCCCTAACCCATCGACATAATTACCTATACTGTTTCTTATAATTGTCTTCTCTGTGAACCACTAAGTTTATATTTGTAGTTAACTTTATGTTACTTTTGCAGCTTAATTGTGCTATCTTCATTATAGTTTGTTTATTACCCTCTCTTTGGCAAAGCTGGAGCCCATCTCTGATTGTGGTAAACATCTTGCAGTAACTCTCAGCTAGCTCATTTCATTATATGTTTTAGTGTTCTAAACATAGACGTGTAGACATGTCTAAACAGCACACAGGCAATAGAAATTCAATTTGGCATCTTGTTTTCCTCCTGCCTGGCTCCTGTTGCCTCTTGAATGTAATTGTCTGTCTGTGTCTCTTTATACACCTGCAGTGATCCCTGACACACTCCAGGTCAGCTACACCCGCTCCCTCACCGGCCAGCCCGTGCCCGAGGGGGCCGAGTTAACTCTGATATGCTCAGGCGGCATCCAATCGGAGCAGCTCACCCAGCTGTCCATCACGTTTGGGAAGCGCAATAATGGAGAGGGCTTGTGGGCCGACGGTGGAGGGGAGGTCAGCAACATAAGGGAGATTATCTCCATCGACAAGCTGCTGGGGGTCGTCCCTGGACGTATGTACAAGAAGCGGTACGACGATGGAGAGATCACGCTGGAGAAGAGAAACAAGGAAGGGGGACTGGGCGAGTACGTGATGAAGATGAGGGCCGTGCAGCCAGACGACACCGGCTCCTATTTCTGTGAGTCCATGCAGTGGATCCGGGACCCCGATCGATCCTGGCAGAAGATCGCACAGAGGAGGCTGGATATTGGCAACTTGACCGTTCAGCAACTAGGTCAGTGAGAAACTTTGCCAGTATTTGTGCTGACATTTGCTAAACTTAGTACAGTCTAGTGGTGCAAGTGTCATGGTCATACAACATGCATGTTGCACAATTATTTGTGTTCACTCAACATTGTGAACAACATACATTTGAAAGATTAAGTCAGCGAAAACATCTTCAAAGGAAAGAAGTGGCCACTTTGGTTGCTATATGATATGATAATATCAGCAAAATGGCTAAGGTTTGGTTTCTACTTCAGAGTCGAGTGACGTCAATCGGCTGGACTTGCAGCGTTGTCGAGTGCATTGGAGTCTTTCCAGATTTCAGACTGAAGCCCTAAATGTTTGTGTTACTTACAGCTTAACTGAATGTCTAGCGTGCTGGCTGAGCAGTCTACTAATGCTGGGCTAATTAAACACGTAACTGGATACAGTTATTCCGCTTGTTGGGCTTTCTGATTGGATGCACGGATTGCTGGATTTTTCCTTCCCTGCTAGGTGGATGGATGGACATCTTACTATCAGAGCTACTATTGTTTTATTGATTGATCTGCAGATTATTTTCTTCATTAATCAGTTATTCCTTTGGTCTATGAAACCATGAAAAATACCCATCACAATATCTCAGTTCCAGAGGTGACTTTATCAAATCTCTTGTTTTACTGTTCTATAATATTTGCACAGGGTGTAAATTTAAAGGTTTAATACCAATATTATACCAATTATCTGGACAACAATAATATATACTGGGTGATATTATAAAGTCTCCCACTGGACCATTTCTACTTCATTCTATTCATGGGCCTGCGACCAATATGAGAACATTTTATACTCCCATTTTATACAATCGGTTAAATGAATGTCTACTAACAGAACACAATTAAATATGATTTGACAATTTTATTACTGAGCTCTAGACATCGAGACGTTTTACTTTGCATTGATGATATTGGATTGTTGATCATTTAATTGATATATAAATCGTCGTCAATGGAGCGCTATTATTTACTATTAGGTGAGACAAGCAGCAAAATCTCCCATGAGAAAACCTGAAACTATCAAAGTGTATTGACTATGTGTTCAGGCTGTCAGAGCGCCTGACTGATGCTGAACTCTCTGCTGATTATCCAGCTGGATTATAGAGGTCGATATCTGGCTGGCCGGCAGCTCAATAACTGCCGGCTGCCGCTTGGCTCAATTTAAATTCCAAAGAGCTTGTGTATATCTGAAGGATTAAGTAATCTTTCCTCCCACCTTGGCCTCTTGTAGCCCACAAAGAGGATGACTATCTCTCTGGCCAACTGATGTGTCCATTACCGTCAGAGCTGCTTCCTCCATATTTTAACATCTCGGATATGAAAGTTAACCCGATATATACATAGAATATTTATACTGGAAAAAACTTTAAAGTTTAATACTGATTTTGTATTCCTGTTGAGATTCACAAAAACTTCTTTGTAATATGTGGGGCTTACATTTATTTAGGTCAAATGTTTTTCTCTTCAGCATTACAATTGAACTCTCTTTAATGCATGCATTGTTTTTCTGTCAATTTCTGACAAGCACTATTACGATCTGTATTCATCTGGCCCCTGCTGTCTGACTCATACAATAGCCTGACCCAGTCTCCCTTTTGTTTTGTTAAATAATGTGTCTATTATATGTTGAGTAGATCCTTTGTTAGGGGAAGTGTTGTGTGCTTCCCTTACATAATGGACCAGTGTGTACTTATAAAATTAAACAAAAACAACAAAAAATACCCATACACTGTCATTTTATAAACATGCAAGTCTAATTAGAAAACGACAGGACAAGTTCAAGAAAATCAATACTGTATAATACATTTATTACAACCAGAGAGCGCGCATGTCTGTTTCTACTGTATTTGTACTTAGTTCTTGATAATTGCTTAAGATGGAAGAGCTTCAGGTTATGAAAAACTTTCAAACATAATGAATCTTAACTTGAATCATTTTTAGTGGTCTGAATGTTCTACAACGTATAAGACAAAAGAACAAAAAGTCTTAAGAAAATACCATTATTATTTGAAGCAGAAATGTGTTTCCTGCTGTTCGATCCTTTTAATTAAAAATAATAAGATATGCAAAAGAGCCCTCAGATTTATTTTACAACACTTTTTGGGAAAGTCAATGATCCAATTCAATAAATACAAAATCTATAATTTACCTGATTACTTTTCTCTTGTGTTCCATTTAGTTTTATGCTGTAATAATCACTTTCTAATGTTTGCTTTCTGGTTGGGATAGTTCTCCATTTAAACATTAAATATGTAATGTACCAGAGAGGCCACCCTAGCTTTCCTACAAAGATGTTTACTGTCAGAGTCTAATGGCCTGTTTGAGGGCCCTCCACTGCAGAGGATTTCCTTTCACTTTTAATAAGCTATCCCCCTCTGCCTCTTCCTTTCCACAGCGGAGTCTCTGAGTATATCGTCCTCTCCCCGAGGGGAGGTGACTCTGCAGGTGGGGGCTCCTCTCATCCTGACCTGTGAGGTGTTAGGGCTGCCAGCGGAGGTAAACTCAGGGCTGCTGGTTCAGTGGATGAAGAGAGGATCAGTCAGCAGCGATGGAGCTATGAGCGGGGGAGTCGAGGTAAAGACTCTCATTCTGCTCACTTGCTTTTTTTGCTTTGCACCTTAAAGTATACCTTATTCTTTCAAGTATGTAAGTGAATACATGAGAACAAACAGGTCAGCAAGAGGGAAATTATGAAATATTTGACATCAAAATTGTTATCATATGCCATATTAGTATTTGCATTAAAGTCCATTTACAACAATAAGAAAAGCATATACTTTTAAATGCGTATGTTTGAAAATTTTATCTCGTTTTTTCTTATTTCTCTGTTTGAAAGTCAGTTTTTATAGAATTGTGAAGTTCCTGCTTACACAGAATGAAATATTTATTAAATAATAATTGTCAGTTAAATTATTACCGGCGTGAATGGGCAATCCATCACAGTCATAAAGTCTAATTTATTTTCATCCAAAGTTACTACTGGATTTGAAAGGTTTTCCGGCGGGGTGCGTTCAAGTGCTGCAGGCAAAGTTCTGATGAATGACACTTAAGAGTTGGCTTTGAAAAAGCAGCAGCAGTCCAAAAGGGACATTATAATTTTGAAGACGTTTGCGTTTTATCAATATCATCAACCTTGCATGCCTTAGGGAACGGTCTGCACTAATTAAAAAATATTTAAAGTTTCTGGTTAATCGCCAAAAATTTAATTTAATTTATAATCTGACACATTGTATTTAACGTTAAGGTGGAGGTGGCCCGGATGAGCCCGGACGGTGTTGTGAGCTGGGGAGACGACCTCAGCCGAGCGAGTGGGGGCTCCATGGAGAAAGTGGCAGGGGGGAGATACACTCTGAAGCTGTTCTCAGGCCAGCCTTTAGACTCTGGGGTATACCGGTGTGTGGTGAGTGTGTACGCCGGGAGAGCCAACCCTGACCCTTCTACTCCTGTAACACTCACCCAGAGGTCTGAGGGGGTCACCGTCAACCTCAAAAGCAAAGGTGAGAGCGCTGCATGCATCTTCAGTGACACGAGGGCTTCATCTGAACACTTTTGAATACATTTTCTGTTCAACGACTTCTGTGTTGGATTTTGTTATGAAATTATTTAGAAGTTTTAATTCATGGGGCCTGTGTTGTTTGCCATTAGGCTTTGTTGGGCTGAGTTCAAGTCTGCAACAGGACCTCTGATACTTGTGACACTAGTCCCACCTACAGCTTTACAAATCTGTCTTAAAGGTCCCATGTCATGCTTTTCCGGTTATTACCCGTCCCCTTGTGTGTTATGAAGGTTTTTATGTATGTAAACGGTCTGCAGAGTCAAAACCCTCAAAGTACACACTGTAGCGAGTAAAACTCTAACACAGAAAATACCTCCCCAAAACGCCTCGTTGGAGATACGTCACTGTCCGTTGATTCTTCCGGGTAACTCCTGATGTCATGCGTTACCCGGAACCAAATGGACCAATCCGTGGAGCCGTTACGTTACGTCCGCGGAGCCGTTACGTTAAGCCCCCGCTGATTGGTCCAAATTGACCAATCCACGGACTTCCTCACACACACACACACACACACACACAGTGCAGGCAGCTCTGCTGATCTCTTCTCCCTGGCTGCAGGCTGATAACAGACAGTTGGGATCGTGGCATTATTCTCTCTGCAGACCCATTCTCACAGCGTTTATCAACCTTTTTCTTACTCGATATCAAGCCACACTTATTGTTTTTACTTCGGCTGTGACTTTGTGTGTGCTCAGGGTGAGTTTAGCTGTGTTTCGCTGTCGCTAAACAAGTAAACCACACCTCCATGGAGCTCAGCGCGATTCACAACGTCCCGACCAATCAGAGCACACTGTGCTCACAGGGAGGGTGGGGGCTGGAGCTATTGGAGCTACAACGAGCCGTTAAAGGCAGAGAGTGAAATTCAGTGAATACACATAGTTTACAGAGATGCTGTATGAGAAACCAACGTGATTTTGGAAAATTCCACAATATATAATATGTGGAGCGTCTAAACAAAACGGAAAGTAATTTTGGTTAAGTCAGTCATTTATGTTTCAAATTACAAAAATTTTGCCAGGGTACAGTACCGGTAAAGGTTGACTAGCTATTAAAGGTAACAACTCCACATCGANCTTTGTGTTTTGTCTCATAGTGGCGTTTTGGCACTTTTAATGAGCGCCACGGTCTCTGAACAAATGAGACGCACTGGTTCTGTGCTCCCAGTGGGCAGGATGAACATGAATGAGTCCGTCCACTCAGGGTTAAAAGCTCTGTTCTCACTGTCCACTTTCCTCTTCTTGGAGAGCGCCATGTGTAATTATTTGTCTCTCCCTGTCTGCCGCTAACACGCCTGTTCACTCTCCTCTCCACTTCTCTCCCTGTATCGCTAATTATTCTTTTCACACTTTCCTCTCCGCTTCTCTCTGCCGCGCTCTCATCTCTTCTTCTGTGTTTCTCTCCCTGTATCGCTCACTCGTCTCTTTCGCCCCCTGTCGGCAGAAGTTAAAATAGAATCGCCGCGTCAAAATTGAAATCCCCTATTAATGTATTGATTATAGGTCCGGGTCTGTATAGGTCGGCGTCTGGGTCTGTAGCCGACACCTGGGCTATATAAATAAACATTGATTGATTGATTGATTTTCTTGACATGGTCAAATTCAGGATGTCAACGATTTGTATTTCCGCATGATCAAATTAGATTTATATATATTTATGCAACAAAATGTATATTTCCCAGCTGAAATCCAAATTTTGGGCAGTGGGGCAGTGATGGCTATTACACACATTCAGAGCCCTGGGGAGGATGTCATCGATCCACCTCAGTTTATAAGTAGCTGGTTCTTTTGTACACAACACAAGGGATCCAACCGCGCATTACACACACAAACACATGTATGTTATTTGACGCACACAGACGATGTGTGTCATCAGTTTCCTATAATAACTCAGCAGGAGCGCTGAGGGGTTTCATCAGACATATTTATAGCAAGATCAATGGATCTATATCCACGCCAGAGCTGGATGTGACATAATACCTCCATGTGTTTTACAATGTGTGTATATCTGTGTGTATTTGGTAGTTGCTCTTTTTTCTTTGCTATGCCTGCATGTGTTTGAATGTGTTGTTCCCCAAATTTCAATGCCAATGCATGCATCTCGACCTTACGTAAATAACCCAGCCTTAGTTTTATTTGGTCATTTGTGCGTACATTCAAGTTAATCTCATAAGAAACACTAATAATAAATAATTGGCTTTGTAACAGTAGATAGTTTCCTGCTTCCTCTAATACACAAATGCAAGTAAGTTATAGAGTCCTACAAACCTGGTTAATGACAATGAAATATGAAATCAATAAAATGTCTATTCCTTGACTGAACAATAACTGTATGCTGATATCGTGCAGTTTGCTATAAATGCAAAGGTTAGTGTGTTTGTGTAGAAAATAATTACATTGTAAAACCAGGTCTCTATAAGCAAAGCATTACAAAAATCCCTGAAGATACCAGAAGAAGAAAAATGCTTTCTGCACACGCTTTGTATGCAAGACATTAGTAAAACCCCTCAGCATGGCCACATAAACTACTTATTCAGCGGTGTGGGTTAAATAAAACCACTAATTGAGGTGCCTCGTGCCTGCCTAGCGAGTAATGAGTGTGTGTATATATGAAAGAGAGATGCAAGCATGTGAACGTGAGCACTCGTTGCTGCGATTAATGAACTAGCCTGTGTGTGTGTGTGTGTGTGTGTGTGTGTGTGTGTGTGTGTGTGTGTGTGTGTGTGTGTGCGTGTGTGTTTCCTGGCCTCAGGGCGTTAAACTCCTTACACACCAAACTGAACTCCAAAGAACACCAAAAAACACGTCCCTGACGGAACGTCGCCTCACGTCGCCTCACGTCGCCTCACGTCTCCTCACGTCGCCTCACGTCTCCTGCGTCTTGGCCATGTTTCGCACTGGAACACACCGCAAAGACTTCAGCCGACGGCGAAGTTGCACGTACCAACTGCGCATGCGTGAGTGGCAATAACTCTCCTTACCAGCAGGCGCCGGTAGTGTGTATTCGTCATTCAAAAGAGGCAACAACCGGAAGACAGACTGGGTGATACACCGAGAGAAGAAAAACAGACTGCGTGATATAAAAAAAAATAGCATCTGCGTTCCATTTTCACTCAACAACGAGAAGCTCATGGGGTTTTCCCGAACCTGTGTCGAGAGCTGGAGTTAAATGAAATCTCAGATTTGCCTTCTTAATAGTTTGTTTGGGTCCCTCACTTCCGTTTCGCTTCTCATGCACTGATTCACTAGCTGAACAGCCAATCAGAGTAATTTCTTTGGCCGACAGCCTACCGATTCAACATGTCGAATCGACGGCAGAAGATGTCGGCACGGCCGAAAAAGACACGACGGTGCAGTACACACCAATCTGAGTCAGGCGACACAACGCTCATCGACGGGCCGACATTATCAACGCCGAAAATCGGCTCGGTGTGTAAGGGCCTTTAAAGCCCATTGAGCATGCATGGAAATGACCTTCTGCCAGTGTGTGTATACAGTAGGGGTGTAACGGTACACGTACCTGTACCGAATGGCATTCGGTTCGGTACACGTGTGTACCGAACGAATATAACGTTAAACGTAAACAATTGAGAACGCGAACAACTTTTTGGAAGTAATCTCAGGTGCTGCGTCGCAGCATTCAGAGTAATTTGCTCACATTGGGTTCAACGCGTCAGAGAGCGAGCAAGTCATTTCATTGGACGAGAGGCATACTAT